AACATGCAAAATTATCCTGTTGGATTTCTATTTGTGTTAAAGCTCAAGGTCTGCCATTGAAATGCTTGTTATGTTGTTCTTGTCCAGGGTTTTAGTTCAGGGATGTTTTCATTCTAAAAATCATATGACTTTTTTAAAAAGGAGAAATATGCGTGTATGGCTTCAAGAGATTTTCATATATACATAAAACCTTGAAAGGTTTTTAAAAACAATGATTATTTCCTATCAGCTTGTAAATAACTGCAGAGTTTCATTCATTTTTAGATCTGTAGCAGTTATGTTACCCAATAGGTTTTCAAGATACGTTTACAAAAGTAATAAAGCATACAACAGAATATTTAACTAAATGAATATCTTTTATTTGCTAAAAGACTACATCGCTTATAGAATAGAGACATTTCTGGCAACCCACAAGCCCCTCTTTTCTTGTTTCCAGTAACAGGGACACTTATGAAACACGGTTTTCCTTAATTGCATTGCAATGTTTGAAAATGGGCCAGGCCTCAGGGTCAGACAACCATTCTCTGGAAGGAGATTATAAGGAGACATTGCTCACTTAGTTTTATAGTGATACCGGAAGAGCCACGTAGATACAGATTTTTTAATTCATATAATTGAAATACATATACATGGATAGCATTATAACAATAAAATGTAAGTATGGACTGACTGTGGAGGTTGTCAGATATTTTTTATTATTGCAAAATTCTAACATATCCTTTTATATGTTTTTGAAATATATTCATTTTTAGAGGAAAACACAGTTTTTGATGCTGTTTCTACAGGAACAGATATTTAGGCCAAGGGTTTGGAAACCTGCACATTTATCACTAGATTATTATTCATATATTCTCTATCTCTCACCAGATTTCAACTCTGCTTTCCTTATATTCCCACAGAACCCAGGAGGTCACATGTGAATTTACGGTTGGGCAAAATATGGCTGTGGGATCTAGAATTCCATCGGCCCCAAAGACCACCAACACCACTGAAGGGAGGCAGAATTCAGTGGTGTTCAAGTGAAATAGGGACCAGTGAAAGCAATAAAGTCATATTAGAATTTCTAGGGACTTGGGATGGGGTCACAGTTTAGACATGAATCTGTCTGACATAATGAGGCTGTGGACCATGAGGACTTTTCATTGTGCATTACAGATCTGATCTGTTGGTGAATTGAGCATGTGAATTCCAGTATTGGGTTGTCGGAGAACTCATGACGCATTTTGCAATGAAAAACATAGAAAAAATACATCATGACTTTTCAACAACCCAATAGATGAGACTTGAAGGACTCACACAGTAACCCACACTATCTTTATCCCTCTCTGTCACTTGTGCTTATCGCATNGCTGCTCAGCTCGGGCTGGACTCGAACCGCTGTTGCTCAGAGCTCAAACTCTTGAGTGAGCTCTTAACCAACTGAGCCACTCGGCCGGCCCCTGTTCCACTATTTTGGATGATGAGGGAGTAAAAAAGAAGTAGAGTCATTACCTGCACCTCTCGTAACTATGCTTCTCCATTACAAGATACAACCACATTCCTAAAACACTGGAAACAAAAACAATCTTGTCAGAAGATGTCTGTTATTTGGACCAACTGATGAGAACAATGATTGCCGAGAAAACTGAGGACATTAATTTCTAAATATTAGATAGAAGTATCAAAAAGTATTATAAGTACTACATAGGTTGCTGTGAAAATAGCATGATTAATTTCTGATGAAAGTTCATTACAAATCAACAGTGCTATACAAATTCAGACATTGTTATTATCACTATCATTCATCAATTTATGTTAAAATTGGATATATTTCTAAGAGAGTCATTTTTCCTTAAGCAAACTTAGGTGTTTACCTCTTTTTCTAATTACAGAAGAATGGAGATATCTAGCAGTTTAATTTTCACATAGTCCTATGATATTGACCCTACCCCTTTTTCCTCCCTTCACACCCAGGGATTCCCAGGCCTGGGTGATGGCTGTTGAGAACTGCACTGGCTTTACTGACTTCATCCTCCTAGGACTTTCTGGCAGACGGGATGTGCAGCAGGGGCTCTTTGTGCTCTTTCTGCTGGTTTACGGCATCACTGTGATCGCCAACCTAGGGATGGTCCTGCTGATCCACATGGACCCCAGACTCCACACGCCTATGTATTATTTCCTGAGCAATCTGTCTTTCTGTGATGTCTGCTACTCCTCCACTGTCTCTCCCAAAATGCTGGCTGATTTCTTATCTGAGCAAAAGAGGATTCCATATAACTAATGTGCAATCCAGATGTTTCTTTTTAGTGCCTTTGGAGATGTGGAGTGTCTCATGTTGTCTGTCATGGCCTATGACCGTTACGTAGCCATTTGCAATCCCCTTCTTTATACAGTTACCATGACCAGGAGAGTGTGTGCCCAGCTACTGGCCGTTGTATACATTGAAGGTTTGGTGGATTCAGCAATCCACACCTATTGCACATTTCAATTGTCATTCTGCAACTCTAATATCATCAATCACTTTTTTTGCGAAATCCCATCCTTACTATCCCTCTCCTCCTCTGATACATCCATTAATGAGAAAATTTTGTTCGTCTCTACTAGCTGTATTCTGGGGTTCAGTGTTATCACTATCTGCCTTTCGTACAGCTACATCATAACCACCATCCTTAGAATAACCTCAAATGAGGGGAGAAGCAAAGCCTTCTCTACCTGTGTCTCCCACTTAACTGCTGTGGCTATATTTTATGGAACACTCTTGTTCATGTATTTTCGACCCAGCTCAAGTTACTCTATGGACACAGACAAAGTGGCCTCTGTTTTTTATACAGTTGTCATCCCCATGTTAAACCCACTGATCTACAGCTTAAGGAATAAGGATGTGAAATGTGCCTTCAAAAAAACAATAGGCACTAAATTATGTTCTGGCTGACAACCTATTGGCCCAAAAAGTTTTATTGAGATATTCTGAAATATAAAATTTAGGTGCTTTGACACAGTTTCCTATAGACTCCCAAGTACAATTGTGGATATTTCTGGTTAACTGCCTTGGTGCCTAAATTGAGTGTTGGGAGCAGTCATTATTGAACTTTCTCTTCTCTCCAAATTAAGGAAGAGTAGTAATGGGTTCACTCTATTGTTTCGCAGTGTGTCCTTTTGCACCTCCCTGCTCTGTTCATGAGTAAGTTCCAGAGAGATATCCTGTGCATAGTAACATCTCCCCCAGGGCAATTAAATTCACCATCCTCAAAGCCCCCTTTGCTTTTAAACAGTGGGTTTAATAAACTTGCTCAGCCAGGAGGGAGTATTAGTGGTTTCAGTGAGCTTTTGTCACTTTCCTATGCACTAATATCATCCTGTAAATGTTCCAACATAACACTTAGAAGTAAATAAGTAGTAAATAAATTCATGAGAATAAATTAAAAATAGCCTGCCCTAATCAAAGTTCCATAAGTGCAAGGCCCTTGCCTGTCTTGTTCACCATTATTTCTACTTTGCGATTCACAACACCCTGCTTCAGGATACCAC